TGCCTTCAGAGGGAACTTGTAGTGATTCTGAGACCTGCTCTCCAACGTGTCTGCATCTTGACAACCAGAACTAAGCCTAAGCAGGGGCGTGTAGTAGTGTTGTTAGCAGCCTGATATCTTAAATGATAGGACTTAAAATTGGTGACTTAAGACTCAGCAAGCAGGATATTGTTCTAAAACATGTCAAGAACTTTTAGTTCCCATTTCTTGGTGCCTAAATTCAAAGCCTTTGGTCTGCCAGACCCCGTTCCTTCGGACCCAACTCCAGAGCAGCTTCACCTCAGCCTCCTCCGATAACTTGGGTCCCTCGCTGTGAGCTCACACCCTGCTGTGTGGTGTGCACACACTCCATCCTGGGAGACACTGCTCAAGGGCCACCCTTGAGTGATCCACAGCCTGCCTGCCTCTCCTAACCACCTTGCCCACTGCTCGCACAGAATTGCACCCTAGTCTGTTGTCATGGCTGTGCGTGCTGTGGCTGGTCATTAATGACCAGAAACCTCTACAAGGGCAGGGATTACTGCTAATCTCCTCCAGGGTCTGACAAGCAGTGTATGCCTAGGAAGTGTTTAAATGGAATGAACAAGCGCAAGGAAGTCCCATCTTCTGGAGGCAGCTTGGGAATAGGCTCATAAACCCCTGGGTATGTTGTATCCCTTTCTAGGAGTTGCCTGCTGTCCCAGAGCTTGCACTGACATCCTTAAGCCTCAGGTTTCTGAACAAAGACAGGCCACATTTGTTGGGAGACACCTGTTTGACTTGTTTCCCCCCATTTTCTCTGTCTCCCTGTAAACTGTGTCATAGAATAGGTTTCAAAGTCGAGTTTATTCTGTAGTCTTCTGGCTGTTGGATTTGAGGGCAGTCAAACTGTGCTGAAGGTGGGCCTGTCTCTAATCAAGTGTGTTTCTTAGCCTCCCAGACTCCAGGCAGCAGCATCGTGCGATAGAAGAGCTTAGCAGTGGAGGCTCACGTCTTACCCAAGCAGCCACAGCAGTGATCTGGGGCAAGTTACTTAACCTTCCTCCTGGTTTCCCCACCTGTAAAAGCATGTCCAGGAGAAGGGACTGCTCACACAGTGAGCCTTTAAATGGTGCCTGGAAGCCAGTGGCCTCTCCCAGGTTAATTTACCTCAAATCCCTAACACTTCCATCTTTTCTCATGATCTGGGAAGCTAAATTTTTCACTCTTACCCTACAGGACCATCAGGCTGTACCAAACAAGGAAATTACAAAATTTAATTTTGTTTCTCTCTCCTCAAACTATAAGCTTCACGTGGGGATTCTACATAGTTGATGCTTGTGCATTCCAGTTCTATGTCCTGAAACTGGGGGCAGCCACAGGGTGGGTTTGATGAGCACTGGGCCTGCTGTGAGCTGGGCGGGCACTGAAGCTCCCTTGGATCGCCTGACCTTCACGAGCCCCTATACACTGGCGGACCCCAGTGATGTGTCTCCAGGAATCGGTGTCATTTCAGGACCATGGTTTGGTGATTCCTAAAAGTTGGAGCACTTTCCCTTCCTCGATGTGCAGTTGCCTTGGTAAATTATAACACTGGGGCTGTGGTCCATCAGAAGAGGGAAGTTCCCTGGGAAATCAGGCAAGCATCAGGTAGGTTGGCATTCAGGCAGGGTGCAAAGAAACATATTTGGATGCACCAGCAGAGATTTGGGGAGAGGGAAGGCTTCTAGAGAGAGAACACCTCAAAAACCGCTTGCTTGGGGATCCCTGGGTGGCTCAGCAGTTTAGCGCCTGCCTTTGCCCCGGGGCTCAATCCTGGAGTCCTGGGATCAAGTCCCACGTCGGGCTCCCAGCATGGAAGCTGCTTCTCCCTCTGCCTGTGTCTCTGCCTCTCTCTCTCTCATAAATCTTTAAAAAAAAAAAAAAAAAAAAACCTGCTTGCTCTGGCTAGAAAACATGGTTTTGGCTATTTACAGCCTGAGCAATAGGATACAATTCTCCACTTTGATTTTCTGATTTTTTTTTTTTTTTTTTTTAGTTCAATTTGCCAACACATAGCATATCACCCAGTGCTCATCCCCTCAAGTGCCCCCTCAGTGCTCATTTTCTGATTTCAACATCCTCGGTTTCCTAGCATGTGAGAGCTTCAATTCTGTGGCCTACAGCACTGGGGTTATTGGAGTCCATGGCTTCCTTGGACTTGGCTGAGGCCCGCTGGAGAGGTCATTGATGGTCAGGATGTCATTCCCCCCCAAAGTAATGGAGGCTCTGCAAAATCTGTTTGTCCGTCACCTGAGTCCCAGGAGTATATGGTGTCAGTGCCCCCCTCAATGTTGGATGTGACAGAGGCTCACAAAGCTGTAGCCATCTTCCCCGACCTTTGCCCCAGGTTCTTTGCTGCGTGGTGTCTGTCTCCTTGTGTTTTCCTTTGAGCTAAGAGACCACCCAGTTAACCGGAGGGCAGAGCTGGCATCTAACCCCAGACTTGTCACCTTCTAGCCTGAGCCCTTCCTGTGACTTCACCCTGGCTGGCTTCTCAACAGAAATACATTAGGCCCCATGCACCCTCCCTCCATCCGGCCCTGAGGTAGGCAGGGGCCCAGGTGGGCAATCTGCCCAAAGGAAAAGACTGGAATTCTCATACCCTCTCTGGTTTGTGAGGGGAGTGGGGGCAGCGGGGGGATTCCTGCCTGAAAACACATGCTGTGGTTTCTGCTGAAGTGAGCCCACGGCCTGGGCCCATGCAAGGAAGAAGTGCTTCTTGCCTCTGGGACAAGTGGCCGTTTTCCATGGTTTTCCATTCTGTCACGCTCCGTGAAGCTGCTCTGATTTGGAGCCCGCTGCTTCCTCCAGTGCTTTCCTCTCCACAAACCCCCTCCTGTAGCATCTCCTGAGCTCAGCTCGCTCCCCTAGAGCCAGCTCTTCAGTCACGCGCACCCCCCTCCCCCCCAGGGTACTTGCTTACCCCCCTTTTCTTTCCCTGGGTTCTCATAACCTGGACTTACAATGTAGTCTGTTTTGCAGACTTGTTTTCTTTTTACTTGAGTTGCCCTGGTTACCAACTTTGTATATAAAGTAATCACCATTCCCCACCCTTTATTTCCCCACTGTTTCAGTGAAAAAGTTGTACTGTTTTCTGATGGTGGCCCTCACAGAAGGAATCTGATGGCGTTTTAATCGCTTCCTTTCTTGCCCTACCACCAGCAGACCTTTCTTGCCCTCCTTTTTATGGGTCTTTACTCTGGAGTCAGGTTTGATTTGGGCTTTGGATCACTGCATCATTTTGCAGTGTTTTCAGATAAAGAGCGTCAGCCCACCAGAGCCAGTGACCTAGAAAGAGGATTATGAGGTAGGAAAGAGCTAATTTAAAAAGAAAACACCCCATCTGCCCTAAACTGGTTCTACCTGTATTGCTTTGATTGTAATATAAACAAACAAATTATATAATTATAGGGGAAGTGAGGTCTGTCAGATTGTGGTCAAAAACCCAAAGGTTTTGCCTTGTCCATCTCTTCATCCTGCCTCAACCCAGAACTCCGAAGGCAGTGGTTTCCATAGACTCTGCTTTGGCAGTGGCTGTTTAAGGAGGTGTAGCTCTTGTTTTCTGGTGGAATGGAGACCCTGTGCTCGGAGTCAGAGGACTGGTGTTCAGGCTCAGTCATGAGTGATCCATATGACCACCCACCGCAGGCCCTGCCTTTTCATCAGCAAGATCAGACCTCTGCCTATTTAGACTTTGGGGGCAGTTATAGTCCTCAAATAACTTCCGCAGAAGGACTCAGTGTGCCTTTAATTACCTTATAAAGAACGTTGGGGTTTGTTTGGAGATGTCAGTCACCAGCTTTCCTGGAGTTGCTGTGGTTCAAAAAGGAAAGGCTTCTGGAAGGGCAGAGCTGGAGTTTCATGCCAGCACAACTTGATTCTACTAACTTTTGTGTCTACTTTGGACTCCCGTTCCCACCAGATTTCCTTCCTGTTTATGCCTCTACTGTGTTCCTTTATCCATCCCATCTATCAGCCTAGAATTCTTCTCTCAACTGATCTACTGCCTGTCTTTAAGATGTAACTCAGGTCTTGTGCCTTCTGACTCCCAGATCTGGCAACTCCTGTCCACCTTCACTGTTCCTAGTACAAGTTGACTTTGATGCAGATACTTAAAATGCTTGCTGTCTTAGATACATAGCCTGTTATCTCCTTGAAACTAAGGAGATCGGTCTGTAACAGCCCCTCATCTCTAGAAAGAAACCAACTTGTGCTAAGCAGATACAGTGGGTGAGCAGGAAACACTGCTGGGAGTATACCTCTAAAATAAACAATTGTACCATTCTAGGTGCATTGCTGAGTCTTAAAAGTTAGGAGTGAGGGGAGGAGAGGTCCTTTTTGCCTGTTGTGGATTAACAGACCTTTTATGACCTTCTTGCACACTTGACCTTGCCTCATCAGCAGTCCCATGGGACATGGAGTAGTCTGTCCGGACACACTAGTGAAACACAGTGGCTTCCCGGTCACATGGATTGGGGTCCCTGGACTCCTCCATCTCTGTGAGCATCAGGTTTTTCATCTTTGAAGATGGGGCTATTTCATCCTACCTCCCAGGGGGTGGGGGTGGTAAATATTAGCTTAATGTTAAAGGCCCGTGTAGGTATTCTGTGAGTGATTACGTGCAGGCATTTGCAGGTGAGGCAGCAAAGGCAGAAACTTGGAAAGGTGAACTAAGTGCCGGTGCCTCCTGGTTACCCATTGAACTGGTTGGCACAGTTAACCAGTTCCTTACCTAGGCACCGATACTGCCAGAGCCGGGTGCTCGACCTCAGTGTCTGCCACCCGTGTCCTTTATCCCGGCAGACCTCACCTCACCCCAAGTGAGTAGAGATGGGCCCACTCCGCACAGTGCTGGCTCGCTGCCAGGTTTGCTGGTCCTTCTGGCTTGGAGCCTCGTCAGCATTGTCCAGCTAAACCTGGCTGTGCTGCCTGCATGTGATCTGAGCATGTTGGGGATGTGTCTGTGGCACTCAAGCTCTTTCCGGTCTTCTTCAATTTAGGAGAAAGGATCCTGGGTTATGCTGAGGAGCCCTGCTATCTCTGGTTTGTCATGGAGTTCTGTGAAGGTGGAGACCTGAATCAGTACGTCCTGTCCCGGAGGCCGGACCCCGCCACCAACAAAAGCTTCATGCTACAGCTCACAAGCGCCATTGCCTTCCTGCACAAAAACCACATCGTGCACAGGGACCTAAAGCCAGACAACATCCTCATCACGGAGCGGTCTGGCACCCCCATCCTCAAGGTGGCAGACTTTGGACTCAGCAAGGTGTGTGCTGGGTTAGCCCCCCGAGGGAAAGAGGGCCATCCAGACAACAAAAATGTGAATGTGAATAAATACTGGCTGTCCTCAGCCTGCGGCTCAGACTTCTATATGGCCCCTGAAGTCTGGGAGGGACACTACACAGCCAAGGCCGACATCTTTGCCCTGGGCATTATCATCTGGGCAATGATAGAAAGAATCACTTTTATTGACTCTGAGACCAAGAAGGAGCTCCTGGGGACCTATATCAAACAGGGGACCGAAATCGTCCCTGTTGGTGAGGCGCTGCTAGAAAACCCAAAGATGGAGTTGCATATCCCCCAGAAACGCAGGACTTCCATGTCTGAGGGGATCAAGCAGCTCTTGAAAGATATGTTAGCTGCTAACCCACAGGACCGGCCTGATGCCTTTGAACTTGAAACCAGAATGGACCAGGTCACATGTGCTGCTTAAAATTCAGGGCAAAGCATCTTGAGTGTTTTTAAACTAGGTGAGTGTACTCTTTTTTGTTCTGCATGCCCACTTCCTGGACTGGATTCTTCATCTAGGGGCCCCACGGTGGGCCCTGTGGAGCTGGGGGGAGATGCAGGGTTGAAGACCACGAAGTGCTTGTTATGAGAGACCCACACAAGTCTTGAGATCTGTGGGGTGGAATAAGAGCTGGAAAGTCTAGAGAAGTTTTCTGAGTGGACATGGCATTTGAGCGGAGTCTCAAGTGTTGTAGAAATACTTCTTCTCATCAATTAATAAATGTTTACTGGAGAAAATGTGCAAAAGGTACAGACAATTTTTTTCAGAGAATAAACCATATCCTTAATGTATTCCTCCTGTTCACCTATCCAATTCTGCACGGTTTAGCTCGTGCTATATTTAGATACAGTTTGGTTTTCTACTCTTTCAGCACTAATCTGAGCATCTCTCCATGTGATACCTTGGAAGTGCAGTTTTCAGTGATTGACATTCTGTTATATGTACCATGATGTCTCCTACTAGTTTAGACATATGATGGGTTTCCTCCATTTGAGATAGTGTAAAGGATGTGTGAGTGAATATTCCTACATGGAAGTCTGCTTATTTAAGAGATGGATCGTAGGCTTTCATTTGTCAAGTGCTATGGTAGGCTCTCGGCTAACAAGTGGAAAGCAAATTCAGAATACAGTGCCATCCTCATGAATTCTGCGGCTTAGTTGAATTAGTTAAGGAGAAAAACATTGGTCAATATTTGCCATAGGTGCTCTAGGCCAAAGGAGAAATGGTATTAAGGGACATTTAGTCTTTTAGGGTTGGTGCCCAGAGGCAGGAGTAGGGAATTGGGGGAGGGGGGCGGCATTCCCTCTGCAAAGGACTCAAACCAGAGGGAGCCTAGCACATTTGAGCGCCCCCAGTGGTAAGGGGTGGTGGAGAGGGCAGATCTTTAGTAATCAGTGACCTGCCAGGAGAGTAGCAGGCAGAGCCAAGGCAGAACATCCAAAAAGTGTATACCAGAAAGGGCAGTGGTTGTGCGGTTGGACCTGACCCTGAGGTGTAAGCAAGGGAAACAAGGTGAAACGGGAACCCTGGAATGCGACCTTGGTGTAGGCATTTGGGAGCCACCTGAGGACCAGAGCAGAACAGTCAGTGTTAAGAACTTCAGCCCATGGAAGCCTGAGTTGGGCTGGAGCCTGGAAGACCAGTTGGACCAACCCTTTTGGTCACACTACCAGCAAGGAGATGTGGTTGAACGTGAAACTGAGAAGCACTGAGGGTAGAGGAGTGCCTGGATCATCAGGGCAGCTGGCCGGGTGTGGAAGTAGAAAGAAAGTAATAAATTTGGGGAGGTTAATGGCAGTGTAGACACAAATGCTGGCTGGCTTAGTTGTCAGATTTGACTTACTTTCAAATAATCCAGCCTACTTTTGTGGGAAGGGAAAAGAACGTTGACTACCATATACATCAGGTGGGCAGTAGCATTTTGTTTCACCTTTGCCACCCCACAAGAGGTGAAGTCATTTATCTGCTATCCTTCAAATTTAGGTATAGGTGTATCTTACTCATGACCCTCCCTCCCTCCTACCTTTTTTCTGAATTATGGTGAGCTGGAAATAAGCTACCTTTATACTTGGTGAAGCCTTGAGAGGTGGTGGTGAGGGGTGGTGCCACTCCCAGGAGCCACACTGGGCACAGAGCCATCTGTCACCTGAGTGGGTTCTTGGTCCCTTCCTTTCCCTTCCTAGCTCTCAGAGAGTGCTAGTGCTGTTGGTGAGTGTGGTGTGGAGTCTGGTCACGTCTGTAGTGTTCTCAGTGAACTTACTCCTGGAGTGACTCTAGGTTTCATTCCTTCCCACAAACATTGAGCACTTTCCAGATGTTTGGTCAATTTGTCCTGCAGCCCACTGAGTAAGAATTTTCTCTAGAGCTTGGTTTGGGGTAGTGCCATGTTAGAGCCCAGAAAGGGTTGGCTAGACCATGTTGTAGTTGTATCTCATGCTGCCACCTCTCATTTCCATCTCATCCCTTCCACTTAAAAAAAAAAAAAAAATTCCTAGAGGGACACCTGGATGGTGTAGTTGGTTAAGCCCCTGACTCTTGGTTTCAACTCAGGTCCTGGTCTCAGGAGATCTGAGCCTTGCTCAGCATGGAGTCTGCTTGAGATTCTCTCCCTCTCCCTTAGGGCCCCCCACCCACCCACCCAACATGCTTACTCTTTTTAGCTCTCCAAAATAAATAAATCTTAAAAAAAAAAAAAAAAACCTGTTAGCATTCAAGTTTGTCATGGGGTAGGATGAAGGTCGTCATTGGAAGAAAAACCTGAATTTGGGTTAGGATTGTGGGGTTGTCACATCTAATTGATATCAGGTCTCCATTTGGACGGCCACACTTGGGATTTGTGCTGTTTGGCAGGGCAAAGTTTTAGCTAAAAGAAGGTTGATTCCTTCAGGTAGGAGAAATTAAGTGACCTTGGCATAAGAAAAGATGAGGCACATAGCTCTGCTGAGTGTCCCAGGCTCTGACCTCTGGTGATGATAATGCTTGGTCAGTTGGTGCCTATTTGATTGTAGCCTAGCCTAGCCTGTCCCAGCAGGGCACTTGGACTTCTGGGCCTGGGCCCAGGTTTAATCACAAGGAGCTGGCCCTTGTGATGCCAGAAGCTTCATATCATTTGTGATGACAATGAGCTGTATCTGGCCAGTTAAGGAATGAGAGACTTGAGTTGGAAAGAACTATTGTCTCCAGACTCTTCCCCCGCCCTGCGCTACCCACTTAAACTTTATAGAGAGGCTAAGTCCACGTATTTAGCATATTTATTGACTATTTGCCAGTGATTATTTTAGTAACAGAAGATGTTAGTGGATAAAATAGACAAAAATTCTTGCAGTTGTTGCACTTAAACATTCTGGTGGGGAAATAATAAATATAAGGAGTATGTTCGAGAATGCTAAGTATGGGGGGTGTGTACCACAGGATAAGAGAGATCAGAAAGCTGGGAGGTGGAGGGTGGAGGTGTACTTTTAAATCAAGAGATCAGGGTGGGTCTCTTGAGACAGCAACATTTGAGTAAAGGTTAGGAGTTGAGGAAGGGAGTCACGAGGATTTCTGGAAAAAAAAGCGTCCCAGACAGAAGGAACAGCTAGTATAAAGACTTGAAGGCTGGATAGATACCCAGGGAGGGGAATGTCATAAGAAAAGGAAGAAGGTAACTGGGTGTCAACTAGAGTAGGCCTGTAGGCCATTGTAAGAATTTTGTGTTTTGTGCCTGGGTAAGACAGAAAGTCTTGAACACATGTTCATTCAGCCATGGAATAACTGATCTTGGAGAGGATTATCCTGGCTGCTGTGATAAAAGTAAACTACAGGAGAACAGGTGGGAGACTACTGTAGCAAGCCGGATGAGAGAGAATGGAAGCTTAGAACAATGGAGCCAGGGAGGTGAGATAAATTTTGGGTGAATTTTGAAGTCAGCCAGCCACTTCCGGCTGAATTGAATGTAAGATCTGAAAGAAAGGAATCAAAGATGACTTGGAAGTTTTGGCCTTGGAAGTCTTTGGAAGGATAGAGTTGCCACCAAATGAGATGAGAAGGACATGGAGAGGAACAGGTTGGGCTGGAGAAGGTTAGGCTTTGCTGACATGGGAAAGTTTGGAATGTCTATTTAAAAATCCAAGTACAGAGGTGAGGTGTGGGTAGTTGGATGAGCCTGGAGTTCGGGGGAGAGATCTGGTCTAGAGATGGAAATTCAGAGATGGCCAAGGCGCCAGAGTAGGCCTAGAGATCTCAAAGAATGACTGGGCTCTGGGCCATCCCGTAGTGGAGTTGGGGAGAGGGAAAGGAGCCAGATAGGAGACCTGGAGTATGGTGTCCTGGAAGTGGGTGAAGACAAGACAGGAGGAAGAGGGAGCAATTGACCATGGCCCATATGATGCTGGTGGGTTGAGGGAGATGGGGACTGACGATTGACCTTTGACTTTTAGCAACTGGGAAGTCATTGGCACTCCTGAGCAATTTTGGTGGCATAAAAGGAAGAGAACCGCTCTCCAACCAGAGCAGGTTTGAGAGGGAATGAGAGGAAGGGAATTGCAGACAGAATTGACCAGTGATTTTCCAGGTTTTGTTTAATTTAAAGGCCCAGTTATACTTTAGAAATTGAAGACTCTACAAAGCTTGTTTTGGGTTATATCTAAGGACACTGGTAGTATTAAAAATTAAAGTTGAGAAAATTTTAAAGGTTTTCAAATGAATAACTCAGATTATGATACTTATGTTAACATCTATGAGAAATATTTTCAAAATTTAACGAGTAGAATGGCATTGTTTTAATATTCTTACAAATCATTTTCCTGTCTGCCTTTATAATCAGCTGGTTTCTCCTATTTGCTTCTGATTTTACCCTGGTGCTGTGTCACTCAGCATGTAACCTCCGGAAAACTCCACTGTACACTTGAGAGGATGAAAGTGAAAAAGACCAACACGTCTTCGTATTACCTTGAACAGGTTTGGCTTTGTGGAGTCCCACACTCCAGACCACACCTCTGAGAACCAATGGGATAGATGACTCTTGGAATGTTCTTTGAAAGAGAGCTGCTGAGGAGTAGGGGGCCTCTGGAGACCTAGAAAGCAGGAGTTATTCAAGGCCCTAAATAAAGGGACCGAATTTTTGTGTCCTTATTACTTGTCAGCTTTCCCATTAAACCTTGTGCCTTGAGCTCCACCTGAGTTTAGGAAGCACTCTTGCCCCCATGATGAAGAAAGGCCTCCGTAATCTGGGATTGTTGAGGTCAGAGTAATGTTCAGATCAGGACTCACTGGTTTTAGTTTTTCTTGCAACAGTGAACAAATGCACTTTGGATTGGAAACATGGGATTCCTCTGAAAGGAGTGTTGCCTAGTGGACTGTCCAGAACTAAGTGGTCCCATCTTTGTGGCTTACTGGCCCCCATGTGACCTCAGACAAGTTATTTTACCTCTCTGGGTCTTATCATCCATTAAATGAGGGTAGATCATATGTATCTTACTG